AAATTTTGATGTGAAGAAAAATTTGCTAATAATGAAGATAAAGACATATTTGCCTTTTAACTCGTGAAACTTTGACTAAAAACGTGTCCTTCTGAGAAAGAATATTGTATGCTTTGCCACAAGCATGTGTGGTGGTTGAGTAGCTTAGAGGTTAGAACATTTGACTCATAATCTAGTGATCAAAGTTTCGAGGCCGTTGCGCTCAAAACTTCAATTTTGTTAAAACCTCTGTTTGCGTCCTTCTTTGATGACTGCAACCTCTTCATCCAATTGTTTGTATTTGGTAGAGTGGTTAGAGCGTTTGCCCAATACATTGTGGTCTGAGGCCAATCAACTAGTGTGTGCTTGTAGACTTCTTTTTCTTACAAGTATAGAATAGTAAAAGAAATGTCTTAGGATATTGTTTCAAAAACGTGATTGGATGGTTCAGTAGGGAAGAAATTCGATTTCCTTTGGGTTTATAGAGAAATGAAATAACAAATTGACAGAGTTGACACAAAAACACCTTAGAAACTTAAAAACACAATGATCCGAACTCACACCTAAAATATCACGAAATTGTCCATATCTCTGAAAACAAACAAAGCCAATGAGGAGCAAAAGATTGATAAGTTGACGTTGAATTAACAAGTGTAGCGTGAGTTTGACCCAATGGTTAGTAGTAATGTCTACATCCTGGAGGCTTGCATCAGGCAACTGCAGTTAATGAAGGGGTATCGCACTATAAGGTCGGACTGTATCAGAGGGCTACCATTCATATTTTGTATTCTTTTCTTTCATTATTCCTAATTCAACAAACTATAAATAATCATTCATGACTAGTATAATTTCCACAAATGTCACCGTGGAACCTATTTTAATTACCACAGTTTCCGGCCTGATAGCAAACTGTTGCATTTGCCACATAAAGAATTCATCAAATGAAGAGTCTTTGTGTGCTATGGCAGTGCGTAAATAATTGCAGTTTTGTAGCCACGTAAGTCTACATTCCCAGATAACAAATCAAAAAGTCACCTGGTTTGACGACTTGATTTAATATTTAGAAATTGCAGCACATTTCGGGAAACGCTTTCTTCTTTAATATTTTAAGAAATGCGATAGGCCCCAATGGGAATCGAAC